TTAAATGTGAAAAATGAGTGGCCTACTTTCTTACGCTTTATACAAGAATTGTCAAGTTGGAAGAGGCTGCCACTGATCCAAACATTATTGTGGTTGTACGGCACAGCTGATTATTTCACTCGGGGAATGACTTAAGTGGTATTCAGGATTTGGGGTAAGAATAAAATTCATATACACTATAGTGCTATACATATAAAGGATTTCAGGAAAACTACAATGAATTTGTAAAAAATTGATTTGGTGTTTATGGAAGTTTACGGGTACTTTTTGCTATTTCACTCACTTGGGTCACACCCAACAGTACTGTTTATTTATACACATTCATCTGAGTTTTCTTTGATTTTATTTAATAGTTCTTGGTCTTATTATTTTTTTCCTTTTAAATGCATGGGAAGTGGAATAAGAATCTTTCCTCCGTAAGCCATGCGTGCTGTAAAAGTCAACTAAAATGCCGGGAACAATGGGCTAGTAACCCCTTTTCCTGTAATAATTACTAAAAAGAATAATAATAAGAAAATTGTCAAAGTGGGAAGTCTGAATGTGCATGGATGTTGTGCAGATGATAAGAAAGAGATGATTGTGGATGTTATGAATGAGAAAAAGCTGGATGTCCTGGTTTTAAGAGAAACAAAGCTGAAGGGGGTGGGAGAGTTTCAATGGAGAAGAATGAATGGGATTAGGTCAGGGGTTTCAAATAGAGTTAGAGCTAAAGGAGTAGCAATAACGCTGAAGGATAAGTTATGGCAGGAAAAGAGGGACTATAAATGTATTAATTCAAGGATTATGTGGAGTAAAATAAAAGTTGGATGTGAAAAGTGGGTTATAGTAAGCGTATATGCACCTGGAGAAGAGAGAAGTGTAGAGGAGAGAGAGAGAAATTTTGGGAAATGTTAAGTGAATGCATGGGGAGTTTTGAACCAAGTGTGAGAGTAATGGTGGTTGGGAATTTCAATGCTAAAGTGTGCAAAAATGTTGTGGAGGGAGTAGTAGGTAAATTTGGGGTGCCAGGGGTAAATGAAAATGGGGAGCCTTTAATTGAACTATGTGTAGAAAGAGGTTTGGTATTAAGTAATACATATTTTATGAAGAAGAGGATAAATAAATATACAAAGTATGATATAGCACGTAATGAAAGTAGTTTGTTATATTATGTATTGGTGGATAAAAGGTTGATGAGTAGGCTCCAGGATGTACACGTTTATAGAGGGGCAACTGATATATCAGATCATTATTTAGGAAAATGGCAACAACAAGCAAGAGGGAGGTGAAAGTGTATAAACTAAGGGAGGAGGTAGTCCGGGTGAGATATAAGCTACTATTGGCAGAAAGGTGGGCTGGTGCAAGTATGAGTAGTGGGGGGGTTGAAGAGGGTTGGAATAGTTAATTTTAAAAATGCAGTATTAGAATGTGGGGCAGAAGTTTGTGGTTATAGGAGGGTGGGTGCAGGAGGAAAGAGGAGTAATTGGTGAAGATGAAGTAAAGGGGGTGATAAAAGAAAAAGTTAGCTTATGAGAGGTTTCTACAAAGCAAAGTGTTAAAAGAAGAGTGAGTATATGGACCCTAAAAGAAAGGTGAAGAGAGTGGTGAGAGAGTGCAAAAGGAGAGCAGATGATAGAGTGGGAGAGGCAAATGTCAAGAAATTTTAATGAAAATAAGAAAAAAATTTTGGGAGTGAGTAAACAAGTTAAGAAAGCCTAGAGAACGAATGGATTTGTCCCGTTAAAAACAGAGAAGGGGAGTTAGTAGATGGGGAGATGGAGGTTTTTGGTAGATGGCGAGAATATTTTGAGGAACTTTTAAATGTCAACGAAGAAAGGAAGCGGTTAATTTCATTGCACGGGGCCAGGGAAGTTTTACCATCTTTTAGGAGTGAAGAAGAACAGGATGTGAGTGTGGGGGAGGTCGTAGGCATTACTAGAATGAAAGTGGGTAAAGCAGCTAGAACTGGCGGATAAATGACAGAAATGTTAAAAGCAGGGGGGAATATTTGGAGTGGTTGGTAATTTTGTTTAATAAATGTAATGAAAGGGGGGGAGGGTACCTAGGGATTGGGAGAGCATGTATATTCCCTTTATAAAGGGGAAAGGGGACAAAAGAGTTGTAAAAATTAAGAGGAATTATTTTACTGAGTTACCAGGAAAAGTGTATGGTAGGGTTATAATTGAAGAATTAGAGGTAAGACAGATGTAGGATTGCGAAATGACAAGAGGTTTCAGAGTGGGTAGGGATTGTAGATCAAGTGTTTTACTTAAGCATTATATGAACAGTATTTTAGATAAAGGTAGGGAAGTTTTTTATTGCATTTATGGATTTAGAAAAGGCATATGATAGAGGGGATAGGGGAGCAATGTGGCAGAATTGCAAGATAGGGAAATAGGTGGTAAGTTACTAAATGCTGTAAAGAGATTTATAGAGGATAGTGAGGCTCAGGTTAGGGTGTGTAGAAGAGAGGGAGACTACTTCCCAGTAAAAGTAGGTCTTAGACAGGGATGTGTAATGTCACCATGGTTGTTTAATATATTTATTGATGGGTTTGGGAAAAAAAACTAAATGCTAGGGTGTTCAGGAGAGGGGTGGGATTAAATTATGGGGGAAATTTAAAAACAAAATGGGGAAATTTACACAGTTGCTTTTTGCTGATGATACTGTGCTTAAGGGAGATTCTAAAGAAAAATTGCAAAGGTTAGTGGTGAGGTTGGGTTGTGTGTGTGTGAAGATAGAAAGTTTGAAAGTTACATAGAAAAGAGTAAGGTGATGAGGGGATCAAATGATTTACATAAAAAAAATTGGGTACCAAATTTGGGAGGAGGAGTATGGAAAAAGTGAATGTTTTCAGTACTTGGGAGTTGACGTGTCGGCGAATGGATTTATGAAGGATGAGGTTAATCATAGAATTGATGAGGGAAAAAAGGTGAGGTGGTGCGTTTGAGGATATGTGGAGACAAAAAACGTTATCTATGGAGGCAAAGAAGGGAATTTTATGAAAGTATAGTAGTACCAACACTCTTATATGGGTGTGAAGCTTGGGTTGTGAATGCAGCAGCGAGGAGGTGGTTGGAGGCAGTGGAGATGTCCTGTCTAAGGGCAATGTGTGGTGTAAATATTATGCAGAAAATTCAGAGTGTGGAAATTAGGAGAAGGTGTGGAGGTAATAAAAGTATTAGTCAGAGGGCTGAAGAGGGGTTGAGGTGGTTTGGTCATTTAGAGAGAATGGATCAAAGTAGAATGACATGGAGAGCGTATAAATCTGTATGGGAAGGAAGGCGGGGTAGGGGTCATCCTCGAAAAGGTTGGAAGGAAGGGGTAAGGGAGGTTTTGTGGGCGAGGGGCTTGGACTTCCAGCAGGCGTGCATGAGCATGTTCGATAGTGAATGGAGACGAATGGTATTTGGGACCTGACGATCTGTTGGAGTGTGAGCAGGGTAATATTTAGTGAAGGGATTCAGGGAAACTGGTTATTTTTATATAGCCAGACTTGTGTCCTGGAAATGGGAAGTACAGTGCCTGCACTCTAAAGGAGGGGTTCAGGATATTAGCAGTTTGGAGGGATGTGATGTGTATCTTTATACGTATATGCTTCTAAACTGTTGTGTTCTGAGCACCTCTGCAAAAACAGTGATTATGTGTGAGGTGAAAGTGTTGAATGATGATGAAAGTATTTTCTTTTTGGGGATTTTCTTTCTTTTTGGGTCACCCTGCCTCGGTGGGAGACAGCCGACGTTAAAAAAAAAAAAATTATGAGGACCTAGATTACCTAGGGAGTGGGAGATAATCAGGTGTGATCCAAGGAAGAGTATCTAATTCCT